ATGTTTGTTAAATTAATCAGTGTATTGAATTTAAATCAGTGAAAAACAATGCAGCTGGAAATTTTAATGACAGATCGTAATGTGAAATGAAAAAGGGACACCACGTATAACATCAGACACAAAAGGAAAGATGAACTAATGTGATATTCAGCCACTTAGTGCAAAGGCAGGCACTGAAGCCAACAGCTGAGTCTTAGATAAACAGAACCAAATAAATCTTATTAAAGCTTTTGAAGGCTAACATGCAATTTCTGTATGCAATCATGGCTTCCTATAGTGTAGTCCTCTGACAGAACCAAGGTGTGGATAGCCCACGCAGGTGAGGATACCCCCAAGGGCTAAACAGTATGTCAGTAGACTACCTTGAAATCTTGGAAAACTTAACATATACAGGCCCTGCTATTATAACAGGAGTACCACCTTTCTTCCATGAGTACTCTAAGCTTAAGGCCGTAACACAATTCTCTTTAATCACTTCTGGTCATTGTAGTTTAAAGGTGGCTCTGTTAAGCATTACTGACCATTACAAGGGTGAAAGAAAATGCCAAAAGCTAACTCACCATGTCATTTTAAGAGAGAGATCTAAATCAGCCCTACTCACTGCAAAGCTATTTTAAACTTCTATTAGTTCTTCGTGCAGAGAGGACTTTCCTACCTCAGCTGACAGCTACTACAGGGAGCAGTCATGGTCAGAGATGATAGGGTTGATTCCCAGACAAAGCAACCACAGAACATTAAAAAAAAAAAAATTAGGCCTGGTTTAGAAAAATACCATGCAAGCTGTGTACACCCCCTTTCCACTAGCTCCAAGGCACTCTCTAGTATTCATAAATAGCTGCACATATAACGGACACTGCTGTTTCTTGTGTGCTGTGAATTGCTCTAACATGTTTGGAGAAGTCTGAGAGGACCAGATCTTCCAGTTCAGGGCTTCCTTGCATCATCAACTCATTGAAAAGGAGCTGAAGCACAGCAGAGGACGGGGTCACACAACTTTCAACAGACTACTGCTCAGAAAACATATCCATCTAATGTTTCAAGTTGGCAAAAATAAACACGAATGCTTATGGAATGACGGCTTTTCTACACTGTCCCAAGCAGGCTCTACTGGTGCATTTTCAATTTAACATGTGTTAATACCACTTGGCAATGGGAAGATTCAGCTATATATAGCTCCATCGTGACTCTCAACAGTTGAGTCCCACAGTCAAATCTACCAGCAGATAAATATACTGGCTTTAACTGGCATTGCTCAGAATGTATTCTCTTCCCGCTCAGCTGTTGCTGAAAAATTCTACTGATATTTCAATAAAAGCCTCTTTTCAAGTATATTGAAGTGCCCTGTATTGCAGTCATTTTCTGCATCTGTTCTGGACAGATAACTCTGTAAAATGAATCTTAGACAAAAGTGAAATAAAGAGACCACTGATTATGTTTCAGCAGAGCACTTTAACACATGCTTAAAATAAAACTTTGAAGTAATTTCAAAACTTCACAAACTCCACCAAGTCAGAATTCCAAACTGGGGTTTACTGTTTTAATCCAAGTCCCTGTGAAGACACTGGGGAGAAAAATTCCTTGGTTTTAACACACAGTGGAAACAAGCTCTTCTGAACATTAATCATGAGCAAATGGCAACAAAGAAATATATCTAAGAAATATATCCTATTTCTGCTAAAATGTCTGGTTTTACCACTGCAAAAAACACAGAACATGAAACGAGACAAAGCACAGCATATTTCATAAGGCAAATCACATTATTTTAACAAATTGCCTCTACCACACATTGCTTTAGTATTTCTCCTGCTCTTCTCCCCTTCCTGTTTCCCCAAATTTAGAACATTTAGAAAGATTTTTAGAATTAGGCTTCGGAGAAAAAAACATAATCAGGAAAATACTAATGAGTTTTCAAAAATCAGCATTTTAAGGGTCAGTATATAATGCTACGTGGAGAAGTGGCTTGCTTTTAAATATGAATGTTCCACTGGAAGGAAGATCATGTTTTGCAGTCCTGGAAATGAGGCTTTTACTCATGCTTAAAATCATTTTAGGACCATTGTAAGAACACTAGGGTTCCTCTTTACTCAGAAAAGAGTTCCATAAAGATGTATAGAATAAAAAAGAAAGAAAGAATTAACAGTGTAGAAGTTCGTTTGGAGTTATGAAATGAAACTAGCTAAATACATTCTCTCATAGCTCAGAGAGTCAAACAGTCAGCTGTTACTGCAGCAGTTAATTTTTAATGCTGAAATTACTACCTGCTTTGTGGTATGTCATGTGGTCACTAGCAATACTAAAATATTTAACAAGAAGCATTGAAATGATACACAAAACTATTTTATATGAATTCTCTATGATAATCCCCAGGTATTTTTGTTCTGTTTTTAAGGCCAAAGAATTTACAATTGCAAAACATGTAGAACACTCTAGACATTCACTTTGAGGCAAAAATTTTTAATGCGGTTCTTAATTAGTTAAAAGTCTATAAGTACTGATGCTTTATTCCATTTTAGCTTTGTCAAAAATTTGTGCAGTTACAACAACTGTTAAATCCTCATTCTATGATACATAGTAATAATATTTCTAAATTCAGCGCTAACATTATGAAACCTATTTCCTCTATCTCAAAGCAGTGGCAGCACAGTTACTGTGCCCAGTTATACCGTAATGTCAAGAACCTGGTATGTTTACAGATCCCAGACCACAGAAATACGAAAAGGAGCCTTTTCAAAAACACACCTTTAGTTCCACACATGGTGTGCCTCTTCCTAAGAGGACTGTAGAGGATAAGCACAAAATGTAACTCCAGCAAATCACTGAAATACCAAATCACCACCAATGGTTCCATAAAAAAAGAATAAAGCAGATGCTTTCAAAAGAGAAAGTAAGCAAGGCAGTATCAGGTATGAAACATGATGTCTAAAGCTTTCACACTCTAGGCATATCTAAATTTTCCCACATCTTTGGTATTCACACCTAGAGCAGACAGACTAAATGTTAACAGTTACAATTGTTTAAAATAAATAAATATTGAACAAACCACAAAACACAGCTTGTTGATATTTCATGTCTGATAAATTGGTATTGAAGGAAGGTAAAACTCTACTAAGACCAGCTGTAGTATCTATAATCATCACAGAAACTTCCTGACTCTCCAGTAATGAGCCAATGTGTCTCAAAGCTGACCAAAAGGCTAAAATCTGCAGTCTTACTTATTTAAACACTAGGTGTAGTTCAGCACACTATGTGGCAATTACCAAAGCTGCAAACCTACTTGAATTTAAGGCCAATGGGCAATTTCCTGCAGAATTTATCTTTCCCATCCTAGTACAATTGAGCTCTAGTTTCTAGATGATACACCAATACAAACAAACAATACAAAGAAGGTTCAGTGACTTTCTACCCTCTAACCTGCAATCCCAAATACTGCTGTGTGGCACAAATAGAAGTAGCTGGGATAGCCATACTCTGCCTCAGGGAGTTTTTGGGGCTGCATTAGGTTGGTTCTGAATCCAGACTGTCCAATAGCTTTATCAGGTGAATACTACACTTGATACACTAGACAAGGCTTTTAGGACATCAGTAAACTGCAACTCTAAGAGGGAACTCTGGCTTCTGTTTTGGCTGGTTTCCCATGAAAAAGCAGAGCTACACATACATAGATTAATATAAGGAGTCAAAACATCAAGTGTTACCTACCTTGCAGAACTGGAAAGCTAGCTTAATTAATATTTCTGCAACAGAGGGGCCAAAAGCCAGACCACTAGATTCAAACTCTTCAACTTGGTGGTTCAGAGCCAACTTTACTGCGAACAGCTCTGAAAATTTGTGTCTTCCAGCATTTAAAATATCTTTAGCTGTTGCAAAGCTTTGAAAAAGCATTAAAATTTCTGCTAAGGCAGGAATTCAGTAAGAGCTGTCCTGAGGATATGGACTCAAAATCTAATTAAACATTGCCTCCATCTTTTGCTTTCAAAACTGGTATCAGATTCTCATTCCTTTCTCTCATATGGTCCCAAACAGGACGTTCCAGCCATAGACCTGTGCTCTGTGGAGAATGCCAACAAACCAAGCAGTTGACAAGTTCAAACAAAAGCAGCTGCCTTTCCAACATTGGGTTACAGTAGGCACAAGGCAGCTATAGCAGATGATAAACACTGAACCAGAAGCTACAGACAGAATTACATGAAAGTACATGCACTGATAAAGCCAGAAGAAATTTGATACATCTAGAGAACTTCTCTGAAGTTCAGAAAGTGATAGGTAGCTTTTACTCATTAGGAAACCACCATTCATTTGCAGTGACAGGCTTGGTGAAGAGTAGTGTTCTAGCAGGACCTGCTGTTTCTCATCCTTTACGTCCAATGGGTCTCTTCTTTTAAGGTCTGTCTGAAGATCTGCTCCTCACCTGGTAAGCCTCAAACTTTTCCAATATAGTTAAATGTTTATTCCCCATATATCCCAACATGAATATCTCACATTCAGAAGCTGGAGCTTTCCTGCGTTTACCACCACTGCCTGGTATACAATATATTTTGGAGATTGATAATACCAACAGTTAACATAAATGAAATATAGTGGAAAAGGATAGGAGAATCAACCAATTTGAATTTGTCCCTTCAACAGACAAAGCCACCATATTCCAAATTGGTGGTTTAAAAATGAAAAGTTTTATAATTAGTTATATACTTGTTCATTATCTCCAGCAAAGGACCAACCAAACCACACAAAAAAAACCCCACAGAAAAGGTAACTTTTTTGTTAGTTAATTTTTTTACTATCGTTTCTCTCACCAAGGACAAACTTCTTATATTCCTACATCTGCATTGCTTTAGTAATCAGCCCATAAAGCAGTAGTATCCTCAGCTTTCTACGATTGCTCAGCATCCCCTGCAGCTCTCTAAGTATGCAGATTTCAGTTATTATAAAAATAACCGAAGTATCAAAATACTTGAACCAATGCTGTTTGCAAACAAAATGGAAAAGCTGTAATTACTCACCAGATTCTCTTCAAACCACTCCCGTATACACACTGCTGTGGCCCCTGGAATCTGATTTCGCAATGCTTCTTTCTCTTGAGGATCCTCTAGCATTTCCAATGCCATCTTTAGATCTTCCAGGAGATGCAAAATTTGAAATGTGCCCAAGTATACTGATGGAGCAGGTGACACAATATCGTAACCACCATTAGCATACTCTGTAGCTGACTTTGTACCTAAAAGAAGTAAAACCAGGAGAGACAATAATATTATACAATTGTTTTGTAAGTGACAAATATATAGGTACTACACACTACAACATTTGGACTTCAGATGCTAACTGCCAAGTATCAGCATTTCAGGCTTAGAAATTCTTGAGTTAGTCTCTAGATAAACAATGAACACTGGAGAATTAAATGTGAGATGTATGTACAAGCATATTAAAAAAGAATTTTGGCCTAGAAAAGTTTTGCAATGTTCCTTAAATTACAATTGCCAAAAACTTACCACAAATCACCTGTAATTTTCCATGCTTACCATGAGATGTCACTAACTTCTCAGCTACATAGTTAGAAGTCCCCACACAGAGCAGTGTTAAGTAACTTAAGAAAGACTGATGCAGTCCTTTGACAAAAAACTTAGATGAAAATAGATTGTGTTACCAGAACTAGAAAAATATGTGACCTTGAGCAGGTTTAAAACCCTCCCACAGAGGACAAAACTTAAAAAGTTAGCAATAAAAATGGCTAATGAAACTTTGCTAGCTCTCTAAATTAGAAAAAGCTCTCTGAATTACACTACCTTCTTCCTGCCAGCCCTCCAGTACCAGTATTATTTTCTCAAGAATAAGCACAGCAACAAACATATCTCACTTGATGGAGGAATTATAAATAATATAAATTCTAGTATCTCTGAATGATTTTGTTTTAATACCCTGTGTTTCAATGAGATGCACACCAAAATGAGCTATCTTTTCTCAGTCCTGAATGTCAGACCTTGAGTTCATCTAATATCCCTTTATTTCTTTAAGAACTAGTCAGGTGGAAAACTTCTATTTGCTCTACTTTTTACAGTTTTTATTTACAATTCATTGCCTCATGTACATAATAGATTGTACTCATGTCTTCATTCCTGTTCTCTCTGGCATAAGCAGTCATATTTTCCCCCTTTATTTGACTTAATGGGACATTTTTTTAGGCTTTTGATCATTTGTATTGTACTCCTCTCCATCCTTTCATTTTCTCACATTTGTCACTTTACAGGTGTATGTTGGATCCACATAACATATAATATTCCTTAGAAGACTCTATCATTGATCTACACAAGGGGATTATTATAATCTCCATATTATTCTTCATTTTAGTCCTGTGTTTAACATAATTTACGTCTTTGTTATGGAAGGAACAGAAATCTTCACTGGGCCTTTGAAAATTATTTGCTAAGTTTCTTTCCTGAGCAGATGTATTTAATTTGAAACCCAGATGTATAAGTAATTCAAATTTTCTTCTTGAATGTACGCTACTTTGCATCAGTCAATGGCAGTTTCCCTGCTATGGTTATTTATCTACCACGATTTGGACATTACAAACTAAGTTTGAATGCAATGGTTCATTTTACATATAGCCTGATATACAACTAAAACCTAAACACAACTCACGAACACACTGATCCTCTAGGCCCTAGTACACTGAAATGCCTTCTGCACCTAGATTAGCTTTTAACTAAAATGCTAACTGATCATTTCATCCTAATATTGTTTCCCATCTCAATCAGTTTTTCATCCAAGACAACATTTTGTCTCTCATTTTGTGAATGCTTAACTTTACTCAAAGCTATTGGGAAAATTCTAAATAATATTAACCAGGTTTTCTACAACCACTGCTTTAGTAACTCAGAGAATTATGTCAGATCAAATATCTTTGCAAAAAATTCTGTGGTTTGAATTCTGCTGTACAATGTATGTGGGTTTTTGTTTGTTTTAAACAATGCAAAACCATCCCTAGAATTGTCTAAAGTTTTGCAAGGCTCAGCGGTAGGGATTTTATTTTTTTTAAAGCAACACTCTTATTTTCACTACTGGCGTATTTGATATAGCCCTAACCTCTTTTCAAGCTCAGAGTATTCCCTGTTTGGTCCTGTTGACTTCCGCTGCTTATGAGTTTATTTTAATACCTCAAGTGTGAGATCTCATCTTAATTTCTGGCTAAGACCATGTCCAGGATAAAGTTTCTTCAATATCCTGTGCTACAAAGACTGCTACACGAGACAACTTCACCTCGTAAATCAACCCTGTCTTCCTGAATTATTTCCTTTTGAGGAGAGGATCAACTAACTGTTTTGCTGGATTTGAGTATTCTAACCACTAAAAGATATTTTCTAGTGGATTTCTATACTCTCAGGCTACTTATGCCAGCTTAGTTGTTTCTGTTTATGTACTTCCTAATGCAAATTAATATTAAACTCTAGCAACTAAAAATAGCAGATTTCCAAATTGTGTAAGAGGCATTGGATCATATAACCTCTTAAATCTTTTCATTCAGCCAGAGTGGTTCACTACTTATTTTCCAAAAGAGATGCACACAAACTAAAATCTGACATTGTCTTCTTAAGTAGTATTGGTGCCCTGGTTATTGTGACATTAGGAC